GCACAGTAAAGGTCCCACTGCACCCAGCTATATCATAGAGGAAATTCTTCAGTATTACTTTCCCATTTTCTGTAAGGCCAACTTCAGGATGGAACTGTGCGCCATATAATTTCTTAGTTTCATTTGCTATACCTTTATAGAGAAAATAATCAGAAATTAACATTTTTGAGTGACATTCTCTTCTCTTTAAATTCTACCCTATGCTATTAAACTCCAAAATTTACACCTCCAGTTCAGTTCTCTAAAGTACAGACTCATTCACACAACAGCCTCTCTATTCTTTGATTTTAATGTCTCCTGAGGAATCATGAACTCTTGTATCTTTCCCAGCAGGTAAAAAGAAACTTCACCCTTTATTGCTTAGTCCAATAATGTCAGTGAAAAACTTGATTTGACACCCTACCCAAGTCAACTGCAAATCCTTTGTCTCATCCTTCAAAATTATCAGAACCCAATCGCTCCTCAACCTGTCTACTTCTACCACCCTGGGCCAAGACACTACTACTGTGCTTCTTCTGATTACTGCATTGGATTCCAAGTTGGTCTGCTTGCTTCTGCCCTTAATGCTGTCTTTCCTCCTCACTATGTACTTTGTTCAAAACCCTACACCTCACTACAAGTTTCAATAGCCTCAATGGCCCTACATGTTCAGCTCCCTGACTAACTCCACAGCAGTGGTTCTCCACCTTCCAAATGTCGCCACCCTTTAATACAGTTTCTCATGTTGTGGTGACCCCCCAGCCATAAAAGTATTTTCATTGTTACTTCCTAACTAATTTTGCAACTGTTATGAATCATAACATAAATATCTAATATTCATTGTTACAAATTGAACATAATTAAACATAATTATAGCATAGTGATTAACCACAAAACAATATGTAATTATATATTGTGAAATATTTGTGATTTCCGAAGGTCTTAGGTGACCCCAGTGAAAGGGTTGTTCGACCCCCAGAGGGGTCACGACCCACAGGTTGAGAACCATGCTCTAGAAGCTTGCTTTCTACTAAATTCCCTGGGGCTCTTTACTCATGTTCCAACCACAATAGCCTCATTGCTCTTTCCCCAAACAGGGGTTCATCTCAGGAAATCTGGACTTGCTCTAAATCTGGACTTCCTCTAAACCTCTTTCAAGCAAATATGACCACTCACATTTCCTTCCAAGCCAGGGTCAGCTTGCAAGACTATTTTCCCTGCATATCCTCTATAAAATAGTAACAACAGCCCAATTCATAAACACGTTTCCTAACCAGCCTCTCAACCTCTACTACTTTTTCAACACAATTAAACACCACATGACAATTCCTATTGTCCAAACACTGTCTGTTAGCACCCAACTAGAATGTTAAGCAAGGATTTTAATTTCTTTTGGGTCATTACTACTGTACCGGTGGCACCTAGAACTGTGTTTGGCATATAGCAGGTATTTAAATATTTGGTGAATATCTATATAAAACTTAATCTTCTACCTCTGTTGGGATTTTATATGAAAAACATCTCAATAATTCCTATGTGGATAGGCTAATGTATTAAATAATTACAGGCAAATTACTTCAATTCTGTTTAACTTGATGCAACTTTTTTTAATTATTAAGGTTTAGCATCTTGAACATATTGAGAAGTCCACTTCTCCTGATTTCTGATTAATGTTTGCGTATACTGTATACACTCATGGGTAAGCCAAGTTTTTCAGCACATTTTTATGCAGTTTTGTGGTAAAATTAGGTGCCTTGGCTGATATTGGGGTAGGCTTATACTAGAGTATATGCCGATTCTTCCTACTCAAAAAAGAAGAAAACCAAGTAGTTTGGACCGGGGGTTGGATAACTTTTTGTAGACAGTCAGGAAGTAAATTGTTTTAGGCATTGTGGGCCACATACCATCTCTGAATTTTTTAAAATGAATCTGTTAGTAAATGTAAAAATAACTGGGCATATAGATACAAGATATATGCAGGATCTGATCCCGAGCCACAGGCCAGAGTTTGCCAACCCCTGGTTCAGAGAACTGTGATGAGTACATGGTCTGCAGGCACATAGTGCAGATACCTAAGAAATGTAGAAATCACAAGCCACCATGAATATACCATTGTAGGAAGATGCTCAAACTTTTCCTGAGTTATAAAAATAGTTTATCTTTTAAAAACTTGTATTAGGATGAATGTGTCAAAAAAAGTATTTCAAAGCCAAACAGAGATATCTTCTGGATAATCCTTCTATATTAAATTCCCCATATTTAGATTACCTATATCTATACACACATGCACACGCGCACACACACAATGAAAAACTGTGATACCTTGGCTGTCAAACTCAATTAATTCCAAATCCCTGTTCCAACACCGAAAAGTTTAAAGAACAGAACATAATTTTTCCATTAGAAATAATAGAAAACCAAATAATGGTTTGGAGACCATTACACTTATAAACTCATTTTTCCAGGACTTTAATAACACAAAGTTAACAGTTGTAGGTGATAAAAATATTCCCTAAAACTTGAAGCACAATAAATACAATACATTAAATTTCAAAGCACAACACAGTAAATAAATTTTTACAATGTGTTTTGTAGTTTAAAAACCAGTGGGTTTTCACAACGATACATTAACGTGGGCTTCACTTTAATTCCCACACAACAACAGAGTGAGCCATAGACTTGTGGCCTGGCAGTACCTTGTCCTCGTTAGTTAATGAGGGTCTTATTAGGCATTTTTCCCCCCCAAAAATTCGAATTTTTGTTGCAGTTGAGCACTTGCTAGAGAACAAAACCTTCAGCCTCCACTCTTCAGTTGCACATTTATTAGCTTTGTCTTTATTTGCATTTGGTCCTTCCCCTTGTCTCACTACACTGTTTTAAGTCTGTTCTCTTTTTTTAATTTTTCACATTAGTCATGACGAGTTTGAACTAGTTGAATACTTCGGACTGCTCACCACTCACTTCAACATTTTAATCAAATCCCTATGATTTATTCTAATTAACAGTTAACTTTTTTCTTTCTTTCTTTTTCTTTTTAACACTAACTTTTCAACCTCTTTGATAGTCTAGGTTATTTTGTTTCTTGGTTAATATTTCACACCTTTCACTGTAATAGCTGCTGTAATCACATTTCCCCCCGAAAAAATGTTGATAATGTTGACTTAGCCATGTTGCATTCAGTTGCCAAATCAGACAAGCAGCAGCCTGATTCAAATTTTGCAATGATTTTGTTCATTAACTCTACCATGGTTTTCGGTTTTTCTCTTAGCTTTACTGCTGGTATCATGAACTTTCTTTGGAGCCATGATTACAATATTTTATGCAAATAAAGCGTAAGTAAAAAAACAACATTGACGAATGTTTTCACAAACTAAGTTCGTTTTTAAGCACTATATGATGTCAGAGCAAGGGTAGTGTTTAAACTTAAGCATGGGTTATCCCTTTGTGTCCGACACAAGACGCAACTCACAATTCATCCTCCACGATTTACCCTCAGCACTAACAAACTTTTCCAAGTCAGATTTTTCATCGACTATGGAGCAAAGTTATGAACACTGAGAAAACTGTTTTTGAACTTTGCTGTCCAAGTAGTGGAGATTTCAAGCATGAAGCCATTGGACAACCAAGGTATCACTGTATGTACTTAAGACTTTTAATTAAAAAGAAAAAGAAATCCAAAAAGACTTCTCACCTGCTACAATGTTCCCAGAACGTGCCACAACCTTGAATCCATCAGCTACTTTGTCAACACTGTCTCCATGTGTAAGCAAAACAATTTCTTCCTTCTGAAGGCCCCTAAACATATACAATTACAAGGCAACACACAAATATCTTAATAAAAAGTCATTATTATCAATTTCTTCTGCTTTAGAAATGTCTGGATCAGAAAACTTGGAAAAATTATAAGCAGTATAGTATTGTTAAAATTTAAGTCCGTTCTTTTTGTTACAAAAATATTAAATCTCAAAAACACATCCTGTAAAAAATAGAAACAAATAAATTATAAAGTTCATATAATCACGCACAAAAAAAGAAAAGTGGAAAAAACAACAACCTTTAAAACAGGAATTTCAATATGAAATCATTGCTTCCAAAAATTCATGAAAAACAAAAATAAAAGACAATGGAATTTTTCTACATACATTTTGAAACCCCCTCACATTTCTCTACTTTAATTTAAGAACAGAAAGCATTTCAAAGATCTTACACTGTATTCGACAGTCACAGTATCATAATAGCAGTAAAACTCATAGTTATTTGGGAGCTCTAATATGTACAGTTATAGGTATTTGTATAATGTTTTGTGTGACAAGTTGCTTTCAACTCATCTCCACCCTGTAGAACTGCCAAATAATTCCCTAGGTTGTAACTTTGTATACTATAGGTTTAAACAGATAATAATAAATCAAGAGTTTAAGGAGATTCAAAATAAAGAGTTAGGTAAAAATCCTATAATCTTTCATTTTACTTTGAATTAGTCTTATGATTTTGTTTTCTCTTCCCAAAAGAGTATGTATTTTCTAACCCTATCCCACTGAGAAGATCTACTATTAATGACAACCCAGAAAAGAACAGAGCTCTTAGTGCCTCACAAATAATGGCATTAATAAAGAAGATTAGGTGACGCTATTATAAACTTAAAAGAGATGTAACTTAATGCAATGTGCTTTCTTACCGGACTGTAATTCAAACAAATCAACTGTAAGTATTCTTTATATTATAGGGGAAATCTGAATGAGGACTAAATATAAAATAATATTTAAATTTTAAAATATTTAATATTTAAATTCTTCTTGTTCTCACCATTGCTGTTTAGCAATTACTGTACATAATGAGTACCAGAATTTGAGCACTAGAAAAACAGAACAAAATTTAAATTTTAACCAGATCTTTATGTAAAGCTGCATAGAGTTTAAGGAGATTTGAAATCAAGAGTTATATGCCTTCCTTAACCATCCGCCAGATTCCTGAGGTAGTTCTCATGACTAATACTGGAATTAATACATATCTAAACAAGTAAGGTAAGTAGCATCCTTTGTCATGAAGTAGAACAGACACTGAGTTTCAAATGGAGTTAGGTAATGAACAGCTTCAATTGGGAAAATTATTTCAAGAAACTTAGCATGATGATGGTGAATATGCCTTTTGAAACATGAGGGTTTTTGAAAACAGATCTTTTACTGATTTTTTCCCCCTTTATTAAAGGAAGTGGAAGCCTCAACCAGCTACATGTAAAACTGGAATTATATCTCCATCTCAGATAAAATTCAAGCCTTGGGTCTTAAAATTCTGATCTGCCAAATTTACAGTAAAAAATTTCATTAAAATTAATTTGGGTGCAACTCAATTATGCCTTTACTTTAAGAA